AGTAGTAGTAGTAGAGTAGTAGAGTAGTAGAGTAGTAGAGTAGTAGACTAGTAGACTAGTAGAGTAGTAGAGTAGTAGAGTAGTAGAGTAGTAGAGTAGTAGAGTAGTAGAGCAGTAGAGTAGTAGTAGTAGTAGTAGTAGTAGTAGCAGTAGCAGGAGTAGTAGTAGTAGTAGCAGGAGTAGTAGTAGTAGTAGTAGTAGCAGTAGTGTAGTAGTAATAGTAGTAGTAGTAGTAGTAGTAGTCGTAGTGGTAGTGGTAGTGGTAGTGGTAGTGGTAGTGGTAGTAGTAGTAGCAGTAGGAATAGCTTGCAAAGTTCTGCCATTCTTGCACACTTGAGCTACTCTCACTGACAGCAATCGCCTCACAATTCTGAGAACGTTGCGGAACCTGTGTCATTGGTCTGCACATACCAACGCCCTTGGATGCAAGCCAGCGCATCTCCTGTGGACAGGCAAGCAATGGTTTCGGGAATCCTGAACCGACTGGGCCAGGCGCCAGCACCCCATGTTGACTACTATTTCAACCAGCACAGGCACACACGCTGTCTCTCTGTCTCTCGACCGTTTCCACAATACCATGAAAGCTCACCGCTAGCCGCTGACTAAACTCTCCGTAGGCCTGCGCAACAAGCCCAACTCGCCTTCGTCGTCATTACCGGGCTCTTCCGCGAAGCGAAGCAAGGTGTCCCAAATGTCCGCCAAAGTCTCTTTCCCAAGTCCGCGGAGCCTTGTCATTAAAGGCATAGGAGCAGGAGTAGCAGTAGTAGTAGTCGTTGTCGAGTTGGATGAGGACTGGGGTTGTAATAGGTCATGTTGCTACATGTAGTTATATCAAACCCTACTGACTTACTAAGTCCCCGGATCCTCCAAGTGCTCCTGTCTTACTAGCCGTAGCAGTACTGTCGTTTACTACTTAGCGGCGTACGAAAGGCTGCTGTCCTACACTCGAAGACTTCGGCAAGGCAGATCATGTCGTATGCAACGAGAAAAACCGACATCCAATTAAAACATGTGCCCCAACATAGGGGTCGGCAGCATTGGTAATACTATCCATATGTAGTACCCTAATTATGATCGTCCAAACACAGCCCGGCCGAAACAAATAAACAGCTCTAATCATTGAGACCGTTATGTTAAACTCTCCGACTGGATCCTCAAACCCTGTGCCCTGGATTCTCAGCAGAAGCTGACCACGAGGTCTTGAAACAGTGAACCAAGAACCAAGAGGAGTCCGAAAGCTTCGACCAAAGGTCCTAAATCCCCAAAGCCACGAACTCAAATTCCAACAGCATGGACACTTCAGCAAACCATGGAACCAGAAACCTATAAGCCCCAAAAAACCGAAAACAACCCCCCAACCATAAATAACAGGGCCGGACTCCCCAACAAAAGATCAAGGTATCCAAAACAACGCGAAACTCATCCTGGACTTTCCCGCATGACCGAAATCCTCACCAGGCGTGTGGCCAGCCAGACACGTCGTTCGATTCGCAACGAACGCCTGCACGAAGAGCTGCACGCTTTGCTTTTGTTTTTGGCATCACGCAGAACCCTTGTCGAACCTTAAGGGAACTTGAGGGAACCCAGAAAGACTAAAGAACCCTTAACCCTAACCCTAAACCCCCAAACCCCAAACCCCAAACCCCAAAGCCCTTCACTTATAAAACCGCTCTGAAAGACCATGAGCCCTTAGCAGCCCCGACCTCCTGGCAGCACCCAGCCGCCATCGTCTTCCCAGGGAAACCCCACCTCAAGACCCCCAGGGTTCAAGGTTTGCGATTAGGCTTCAGGGTGTGCGGTTCAGGGTTCAAGCAACGGTTTAGGGTTTAGGGGTGTAGGGTTCAGGCATGTACTTAGACAGCCTTTTACGGGTTAGGGTGTGGGGGTTTTGGGTCTTGGGCCTTCATGCTTAGGTAAAAGAAAAAATTGAGGCTTCTGTTCGCTCGAAAGTCAGGGTTCCGGTTTTAGGGGTGCTCTGAGCTGCAAGATTCCAACATTCGAAGAGTGCGTTCGTCGGCTTTGGAGAGACCATGGCTTCGGGCTTCAACACCGATAGACTAATAGAAGGACTAAGGAAGCCCAAACCGCAACAGAGAACCCTAAACCCTAAACCCTAAAGCCCAGTGCTCACCTGTTCCGCAAACTCGCAATATCCTTCGGGGCTCAGGGTCTTTGCCTATGCCCAAAATCCAAGCCTAGAAGCCCTAACCCCTAAACCCCAAAAGCCCCAATCCCAACACCCAAAAGCCCTAAATCCTTAATTGCCCTGAAACCTGAAACCCCAAGCCCAAAACCCAACCCCAAATAGCACCATAAAACCGCGAACAAACGCACCAAACAGCAACAAAAAAACCCAAAAAGCCCTAAACAAAAACCTAAACGACCCAAAAGCCCTAAAAAGTTCTAAATGCCCCATAAGAGGAGGCCCCCCAAAACCCTCCTTTTAAGATCCGCTTCGGTGAAGCGGCAGCTTGGGGTGCACGACCATGCCCCGAGGCTTCTTTCCAGTGGTAGCCGGAGCCGTCCTTCGGACTTTGGGCTCTTGGGCTTTTGGGCTTTTGGGCTTAGGGCTTAGGGCTTATAAGGGTATTTG